GCTGGCATTAAAAGCAGCTTTTTTTTGTTTATTTGTTTGTTTTTCCCCAGGTTTGTATTCCCCATCAGTAAGGCTCCTCTGAAGCCATGCTACCAAAGACCTGTCAGATTGTAATTGTCTCCTAGGGTGAAACACCAAGGCAAGAGGTGAGTTGAAGGCATTTTCCAGTCTTGGCTGCAAGTCTGCCTTTTACTTCCCACTGAAGGAGGTCAAGGCTTCACGTCCCATCGCAGAGGTGTCAGAGCACACACAGAGTACACTCCGGTGTTGGGACAGTGACTTCTTGAAGCACGCTGCTTTTTTCAGCTGTGCTGGTGTGAGCATACCCTCAAGTGGAGAGAGGCACTCTGAGATGTACGATGTAGTCGCTGTGGGGACCTAAACACGGAAATAAATCTGCAAGAGCTTTGATGCCGATAGCAGCTCGGCAAGAAGACGCTGTAAGATAACACGAATAAAGAAACTATTCAAAACACCTCCCTGTATCAAACACCTTACTAATGTATAAACGTTTCACAACTATATCGTATCTGACTACGTTTCTTTTCAACAGATACATCTGGACTATATTAAACACTCCAAACGAGGGATCAGAGAAAGCAGTTTCTTGTTATTGTTCCATAAAAGCTACTTTTAATATGCATTGTAGAAATACCAGGCATTAAAAATCCATGAAGGATCGTCAGCGATTGAAATGATCAACTGCTGTTTTGAGGTCTGAATTTCAGAGACTGCCTTGATATCTGCAAGGTCTCCGACGACTATTTTAGCAGTACTGAAAAGCTCTGTAGTTTTACATACAGAACTTTGACCCACACAGTTAACTAATATTCATCACTTTGCCAGATTTTCCTGCGAGGGGAGGGAAATCGATGATGAATTCAGTTATCTCCTTAGCGTAACCCTATTTATTTACAAAGAATGTACAGCCACGTCCCATTTCCTTGCACGCAGAGGAAGCAAATGGGAGGGAGAACTGTGCGGCAGTCCAAGTTTGCTGCTCTAGCCAGGATGCTTGCCCAGAAGAAGCTGTCCCTTGGCTTTTTCTCAGGGCCATGCACCACTGCTTCTCCCACTGTCTGCTGGCTCTCGCGTGGTGTTTCCGGTCCCGGACATGCACACAGGCAAACACAGCTGCAACCAATCTGCGCTCTTGCTGCCGCGTTCGCAAGCAGTCCCTAGAGAAATCTCTCTGACTTTCCCCAAATTAGTGCTTGCTCATAGGAGTTAGCTCATCTTAGCGCTTGGCCATGTAGCCCTGTGCCGTGGGCAGCCGTTTCTAGATTTTAGCTATCTTACGCCATAAAAGAACTTGATTGTTCCTTCCCGAACAAAGCATGGCCAGCGTGCCTGTCGGTTTTAATGAGGTTTGTGATTGCCTATAGATCAAAGCTCTGCTCCGGTGAGTTTTGCTTATATTGCATAAAGAGGAAAGGAGAAGTGACCTCCAAAGTAAATAGAACAACGAGGAACAAAATTAATTTTCATATACAATTTCTTCTGTGATTTGGCAAGCGTCAGATTAACTGTATAAAACAGAAGACTTCCTACAGAATGTTAATCCTCACAAGAACACATTATAATGAAGATTTCAAAAGTACAAGCACAACCTGTTCTTCATCTGAGACCTTGTCTGTATCATCTTCCAAACCACAGGCCTGACCCTGGGAGTGGAAGGACTGCTTTCAATAAACAAACCTTGATTTTCCAGTCCTGCACCATCATTTACTTCTGTGCAAGTTGCATGAAGACGTTACTAAATCCATTCCAGCATATTTAATAACTACTTTTTTCATTGGTTTTCACAGGTGTAAATGCCTCCACAAAGCTTGTGGCAGCAGAGGAGCAAGTCCCAGAGATTTTTACTAGCAGGGCAAAGAGGAATTATTTTTCTGAGAACTGATTAGTCGTGTTGTATTACATGCTGTAACAGCAGGAGAGAGTTCCCCTCTCTCCCGTGAATTTGGCGGTATCAGGGAACCTTTCTGAAACATACTTGTCTGCAGCCAGTAGATCTACTTTGCAGGGCAAATGAGAGACAGTTGTACTTTGTGAATGAAGCTCTCAGCTAGAGAACAAAACAAGTCAATGACCACCATTTTCTTTCAGCAGATCTCCAAATACGCCTGCATTTGTGAAATGCATGGGACCGGGTCGTTTTCCTGTCCTTCTAACATGGTTCCCAGACAAAATGTCTGTGCTGCTACTGTTCAAGGAAATAAAGTTAAAACCCTGCGAGCAACAAACATGTTTAGGCATGCTGAGCATAATTTTGCTTCCAGTGTGGGAGGGTCCTAAATACTTGGCCTCCCCAGTGAAAGAAATGCACATTCAAGAAAGGCAGAAGCTGAATTAACCCTTCATTACCAAGCACAATCATACTTCTAAATATTGGGGCCCAGATCTTAATTTCCTTGGCGCAGTTCTTTGTGCGCTGTGAGAATTTTAGTGTTCAAATATGCTCTAAACAGGCTGACAAGCACCTTTACAAATACTGTCCTGCTGGAAATGCTCGCCTCATCCTCCAAGAAAGGCATACGAATAAGCCACGTTTCTTACCAGCCGACCAGCTGACTTTTGCCTTACTTCCACCGGACCAGAGTTGTCATCTGCTTGATTTTGTCCGGCGCCGGAGCCTTCACTCGGAGCACACGGACACGTTTACTGCTGTTCCCGCGCAACCCATTGTGACGTTGAGCTGTCACCAGCCGCTGTCAGGGTGCTCAGCAGCCAGGCTCTGCACCTGCAGGGAGACAGGATGGGTGCAGGGATGGGAGCTGCACTCACCTTGGTCCCCCGAGGCCTCCTGCCCGCCGAGCACATAGGCACTGGAGCCAATGTGCTCGGCAACTTTTCCAAGCTGCGGCATGCGCTTTACCTTCACGAGTGCTGCAGTCTGCTGGCCTGTAAAACCCGCCTCCCAAGTTGAGAAAGTAGTGGAGCGGGAAACTGGCAGGAAGGCACGGCCAGCCACTGCTCCCCAAAGCCCCATCCCCTTGAGTCCAAACGATTTGGCAATGCTGACTTCATGTGGCGAGATGCATTTGGATTCCCAGTGCTTATTTTGGGGAAGAAAGGGCTTACTGGGGCACAGAGAAAAAAATGGGATGGGGACTCATTTGGAGGTTGAGTCTCAAAGTTGTTGGTTTTTTTTTAAACTATATTAACATTTGTCATTTAGCATTTACTGTAACAAACCCACAGTGTGTGACAGACAATAAAAATCCCGCAGTGACTTAAATGGGACTAATTATGTGAACAACAAGCTACCAATGAGAATCATGATGCCCTCCATACGAAATAAATAAACATCAGTTTCCACCTAATATTTACTTCTTAGATGTTCAAGAGTAATCCCATTTGGCGTATTTTAAGGAAGTGAGCTCTTGACCCCAAATGTTTATGGGCTGTAACAGTAAGTCAAATAAAAGAAAGGAAGCATATTTTAAAACTGTTCTTAAAATCAGATTGGTTTTAGGGAGAGAGACAGCGTTTCACCTCATGTTTCAAGTAAAGGGGTAAGCGTGACTGATACAGCCCATCCAGACCAATAAGATAATTCTTGCTATGAAGATTTCTTTTAACAAGGGGTTTTGAATATCTGCTTAGCCCCCTACCCTCCCAGGACAGATAACGTTGTACCACATGGGTTACGTTAGTTCCATCATATTATATACTGTAATAAAATGTTAAGGGAGCTTTCTAGGTGAAATGCCACAAAATAAGACACCAGCTGAAAATCATGAGAAACAACAATTTCATCCCGAATTGGTTTGGAGATATATAAGCCTTTAAATAGAAGTATTTAAATTATCTGCTGTCTGCAAAACATTCTAGATCAGTGGTTCATGGCACAGTATTTATTGGATATTTTTCTGTAGGTAAATAAGAATGTGAAGTAGGTACACATGGGGTTCTATAGCAATGTTATCACTATTTACTATATATGTTGGAGTTTGTGGCCCAGTTTGTGGCCCCCGTTCTGGATGCTGCGTGCTGTAGGGACAGCTCTAGGGCTTTCACTGAAGAAACACTTGTGTAACCCGAAGGCCACAAGTCAAGCTACAACTTTTTAAATTACGTGGCATTCTGCCTCTATGAAAGGGACACAAAGCTGGTCCCAAAGTGTGCTTTGCAAAAAGGTGGTAAGTGCAATGATAGCATGCAGGCTTTTCGCTGTAGTGGTCTTTACAGTTGAGTTCAGCTGGTCCTGAGTAAATCAGGAGGAACACTCTACAGAAGCTTTTGAACAGGTGAGAAAGTACTCTAGAAGCAGGCAGGACTCAGAAAGTTCAGAGTTAAGACTCACTAGCTGGACAGAAGATAAGGAGAAAGAGCGACCTACAGGGAGCAAATGCCATGGAGGCCGGCAGAGAGACCCTGGGTGGGAGCGAACCTTTCACTTCACGGGCTCCTGTCCCTTTGGCTTTTCCAAGAAAGAATTAAAAAAAAGAAGGGGGGGGGGGAGAAGAGATAAATAAGGTTCTTATTACTTGGAGCCAGGAATAACTGACCAGTAAATTTCCACAAAGGAGTCCCTTCCCACATGGCCCAGCACTGTGACATTTGTCGACATGATACCTACCATCTGCTATCATGATCAATGTCCCCCTTTATATATATGTAAGAAGTATATATATAAAAATTGTCCCTTATATGTGTGTGCATATATGTAAAAATTGCCCTTTGGGTGCCGCCTCAAGCCAGCGCCGCCTTCAGACGCAGCTCCTCAGCTGCGGAGGGGAAGGAGCAGGTTTCCGGCTGCGCTCGTTTTACTTTAAATATTGCACTTCCCGAGGAAAGACGGTGTTTTAAACGGGTAGGGCTTGTTTCTGTTTTATTAGACCGTCCTCGATGTCACAAGAACCCCGGGCCCAGCTGCGCCCCTCAGCCCGCCGCCCGCCATGTCCCGCCGCTTCCCGCCATGTCGCGACGGGGCGGCGGCTACCTCCCGCCCGCCAGGGGGCGCTGTTCCCCCCCGCTCCATCCCTGCTCTTGCCTCTCTGGCCCCTCCTTGCGTCTGCGCGGCGCGGCGGGGTCCCGCCAGTCATGGCCGCCTCCGTCTTCTGCTGCTTCTCCTGGTGCAGGGATGGCGGCGCCGGCCATATCCCGTTGAAGGAGATGCCGGCGGTGCATCTCGACACGCAGCGTATGGGTAAGGGGCGGGTGGGGGCAGCGGGCAGGCCTCGTGAAGGGCCGGGGGGTGTGCTCCCGGCGGGAAGGCCGCAGGCCCGGGGCTCGGCGGGGGGTGTCCACCCGTGAGGGGGACGGGTGGCCGGGGTTGTCTGTCTGTCGGCGGGAAGCTTGAACGGGGAGCCGGTGGGGGTTGTCGGCTGGTTTTAATGCGGTGTAACCGTAACGGACCGAGGGGGAATGCGCGCCTGCCTTTACAGTTTATCCTCTGGGGGAAAGGGGCTTTTTTGGCTACTTCTTTAGAAGGACTTGGCAGTTTTCAGGGAAAAAAAAAAAATCTCAGCCGAAGCTCATCAGCAGAATGAGTAGGTGGGGGTGTGCCACTGTCTGAGGGGGGCTGAAGATCTTGGTCAGATTAGGCAAGGGACGGTGGTTCAGAGCTGAGGGGGTGAGTTACGGCAGTGAAGACGCAGAAGGATCCAAGCCATGCGGCGTCTCATCCATCCCGCTCGTTGAGCGTCATCCTTAGGATGAGCTATCCCCAAAACCATGCCAGGGCTTTACTGAGAAGTGATCTGGGGCAGCTGCAGCAGAGCCAGGGAAAGAGCTAGGACGAAAGCAGTGTGGCCGATCCAGGGTCCAGTGCTCAAGCGCAGTTATTAGCCCGGTTTTATTCCGTTGTGTCAGTGGACTTTGCCTGTCTCCCGTGTTCTTGACCATGACAACAGTGCCTAAAGATGAAGTGTCCACTGGAGAAGGAAAAGGTAGCAGAGGACTTTTTCTCCCTGTCTTGGCAGGTGTGTTTCTATTAAAAGGATTTCTTCAGAGAATAATTAAACACTTTGCAATTCCATCAAACATTTCTACCCGATGTGCCTTCCCTTCTCTTAGCAGAATTTGTTTCTCCACTGTGTAGAGACAGGGTACAGGGCTTTGGTCTCATAGTGAACCCTTTCTGACTAAATTGTAAGTTACGCTTCTGATGTGGCTGAGCAAAGTTCGTAATTGGCATGGTGTCATAAAATGCAAGAGGTGAAATTAGAGCAGCTTATAGATTTTAAGTAAATAAACCCTAGTTGAAAGGTGAACTAGCCTGTAAACAGCCTTCCTTTTCTTACTTCAAAGCGTGGCCTGTCATCGTAATTCTCACAGACTAATGAAGTTCTTACTTGGGGCAGAAAGAAAAAAAACTGTTCTGAATGTTCAGGGCTTTTAACGGCTGCTTCCAGACCTCTAAAAATGTTTTGAAGTTTTGCGGGTTTTTTTCTTCTTGCAGGAACAGATGTTGTCATTGTTAAAAATGGCAGAAGAATATGTGGCACAGGAGGCTGCTTAGCCAATGCACCTTTGCATCAGAACAAGAGCTATTTTGAGTTTAAAATCCAGTCCACAGGTTAGTCAGCAAAAATGTACAACTTTAAACTTGGAAGGTATGTCAGATTGCCCGCTGGTGGTCACATCTCAAATACCGAGCACGTGCGTCTTTCTAATTGCATCCTTGAACTTGTGAATATTGGAGAGTTTTATAAGTTGTGTAAAAGGAAATTTCTTTTTTTTTCTTCTTTTTTTTTTTTTTTAATTGTGGCTCTGAAATACTAAAAAGAATGGTAAGTATATTACTAAAGGAGTGGAAATACTGAAACACCATATTGTTTTGTATGCTGTTGTATGCATGTTTCTCAGTTAGCATATTTTAGAAATGTTTTTGGTAAATAAATGCTTATGACCACATAAAACACTGTAGCTATGAAGTATTTTTATTTTTTAAATAGTGCCGTTTATCCAGCAATGTTTGTAGCTATTTGTCTACTTCCATTTGCTTTTAACACGCACTGTGTTTGCCCAAGCAAGGGTAACACTCCTTGTGCTACACTTTGCTCTTCAAATCAAATGTGCAGCACTTATTCTGACACTGCCTTGTCAAGAGGAGCCTTTCAGCACCCTGTTTCTTTATTTGTTTTGCACTGATCTAATGCAAGGCAGCGGAAAGTGAATGAAATTTGGAAGCATTATGCTTTTACTAATGTGGTCAGCTTCACTAGTACAGAGTGCACTTCAGGCTTGCCTGTATTCTAACATTAATAATCAGCCTGTATTTTTAAAAACAGCAGACACTGTGAAAATGAAGATGTTCTTTCCCTAAGTGTGTAGGGGGAGGGAAGAAGAAGGGAAGTGTTAGTCCAGAGACAGGCCTTATGATACCAGCTGGAGCTTGAACCCGGCGCATTTTGGGTAAGGGTTGTTTGTGTTCAGTTGGATTGGAGTGCAGGCAGCATGAACACAAATCCGTCCAAAACACCTTGCAGTCAAACCAGCTGTTTAGTTTTAAAGTACGTGTAAACCCCAGATCAGTCTTAACTTGGCAATTTTAGTATCCTTTCTGCTGGGGGAAGAATCCTCTGCAGCTGTTGTTCATATATGGTCATTATTCACACAGATACGGTATCCATGTTCTTATACTTAAAAAACACAGGAAATAAGCTTTCCTGGTCCCTCTGAGCTGTGTCTCGATCTGTTCCTGTGCCCCAAGGCAGGAGAATTGTAGATCACTTAAAACTTTTAATTCCTAGAAGTGTCCCTGCACAATCTATTAGGAGTCATCTATGGGGTCACCCTGGCTATTGGAAAGTTTTCTGAATCTGAATCTTGTTCACACTCTTGTCCTTTTCATGCTGGGCATGTAAGTATTAGAATACATTGTTCAGCAGTTCTGTCTTTTGAAATTAATTTTCCTATATTTTTGCCTCATTTTAGTCTTCTGTAGATTAAAGAGTACCAGGTTGGGTTTTTTTCATTGTCTCCTTAGAGGTGATGGTTTTACACTTTTAATTGGTTTTGTTTCTTCTAGAATCTCTCTAATTGACCTAATTTGTTTTGAGGTATGATGCTTAAAATGGATGCTCTGCTCCAGCTGCAGCAGCAGTAGACGTCCTTCATCTGCTGTACATACAGTATGTGTCCTTTGTACATGCCCTACATCCGGAAGTTTTTCACAATAGGGCACAGACTCACGCTCCACGTGTAGTCCATGGTAATGCCCAAATTATATTCTATGAACTGGTTGCCAAGCCACTATTGTATTTGTGCCACTTACTATTCCTACTTACCTGCTGTTCTTTGTAACTCAGAAAAAGCAAATGCATTTTCCTTATTTCAGACCTTTTAACCAATTTGTCAGGATCATTTAAAACTTGAGGGGCCTCTGAAGAGCTTGCAGTCCTGTCAGGTTGGTATTGGCAGCACATTTAATAAGCACATTGTCATGTTATCCAAGTCATTGATGTGAAATACGGAACAGTATCTGACCTTGTGCATGCAATGCAAAACCTCAAACCCCACAAGTCATCTTTCTGGATTTGACAGGGTACTACTGATGAGTAGTCCTGGACAGTTTTCTAACCAGTTGTGCATTCATATTGCTGTAACTGTCTAGACCATGTTCTCGTAATTCGACTATCTCAATGCTGTTTCAAAAACATTACCAAATCTAGCTCTATTGTATTTACAGTCTCTTCTTTTTCCCTAAGACTCATCTAACCCACTGAAAAAGGAAGTCGTGTTGTTCACAAATCCATGCTAGTTGGATTTATTTTTTACATCCTCTTACAGTCTCAGAGTTTGTTTTCAATATTTTTCTGGGAATAAAAGTTAAGCTAAGTGGTTACAATTCTCTGGATCCTTCTTTTTCAGGATAAATGCTGTTTATCTTCAGTCTCTTGTGACTGTTTGTACTGGGTCTGGCCAGGATGGAGTTAATTGTCTTCATAGCAGCTCCTGTGGTGCTGTGTTTTAGATTTGTGACCAAAACAATACTGATAACACACTAATGTTTTAGCTGTTGCTGAGCAGTGTTGGCATGGTATCAAGGCCTTCTCTGTTTCTCACTCTACCCCTCCAGTGAATAAGATTGGGGGTGCACAAGAGGTTGGGAGGGGATGCAAGCAGGTGTATGACCTGAACTAACCAAAGAGATATTCCATGCCACATAATGTGACACTCAGCAGCAAAAGGGAGAGGAGGGGATTGAGGGACGTTAGCCATCTTTTGCTTGGGAATTGGTTGGGCAGCAGTCTACCTGTGGGAGGTGGTGAGCGATTGCCATTACATCACTTTGTTTTGTTTTGTTTTCTTTCTTTCTTCCACTTCTCCTTTGCTTATTAAACAATTTTTATCTTTACCCACAAGTTTTCTTGGTTTTACTCTTTCTGTCCTCTTCCTCCATCACACTGGGGCCTGTGGGGCAACTGATTGAGTGGCTGGATGGTGCTTAGCTGCCTACCAGGGCTAACTCACAGTAGTCCTGGTATTTCCAAGAGATATTTACTGGTAGTACCGCCATAGCACTAGTTAGAAACACATTCTTCATGCTGTCCTGCTTCAGTCAGATAGTTTTCAAAATAATGATTCTTTTTTTCTTACCACGTTAATGTCACATTTTAGGGATTTGGGGTATTGGAGTTGCAACCCAGAAAGCAAACTTGAATCAAATTCCACTTGGTCGAGATGTCCATAGCCTGGTGATGAGAAATGATGGAGCTCTCTACTATAACAATGAGGAGAAAAACAGACTACCAGCAAACAACCTTCCTCAGGAGGGCGATGTGGTGGTGAGTTTCTTAAGGCTTCTTTAATTCCCCAGGTGTTCCAGGATCCCTCTTATTTACAGCGCTATGGTCAGACTGACTGTTCCAGTCAAATTTTTCAGCTTGCATCTCTCAGTTTGGAAAGTGCTGATACAAACTCCCGTTGTGTTTGAACGGATCAGCAGCCTGGATATCAGTGGACTTTATTCTCAGCATTGATGTGTTTCTGAATGAGGGACAGGATTTGCTAGTGTTTGAAAAGGAGCCTCTAATGCTCTGCTGCAGTTTGGTTGCAGTATCTACCTGACGGATAACTCCCATCACAAGGATCTTCTTGTTTGAGATGGGACCTTCCTGAACAAATAATGTGCTGAAATGCATTACATAGCTGTGTACCATGCCCAGCTGAACTCATGATCCTGTAGCTAATTGGTTAATGATTAGAAAGACAAAGCTGAGCAGAGACAGGTCCTGGGAGTTAAATTAATTGTATTTTTAGCCAAACTTTTGTAGGGAAGAAGGGATAATAAGTGGGGACGGGGTAATGCTAACTGGGAAAATGATTAAGGATGAGAGCAAATGGAGAATCTTAAGATTTATTTTTTTGTCCCTTACTATTACAGGTTTCTCATAACATCTTTAAGTGACTTGGAACAAAGGGTTGTGTTCTATTGCTGTCATTTTCTCAATGTCTTGTTAGAGATTTATTTTCAAAAATACATGGGAGCAGTGCAATGAAATTTAGACCATTTATCACCACTACTTTTTCTTGCTGGGTAACCTTGCCTCTATATAGCAATGATTAGAAATTTCATCTTTAAAAGCCCCAAACTGCTAAGGTTAATGCCTCCATCCTTTACTCTCAGATACTATATTATTCTTCTCATTCTGTTCTGAAATTGTTTTTTTTGAGGGTTGCAGAGTGTTTCAGGGTTTCGTCAACCTATGTAGTCTGAACAGCTTCAGCTAAACACAAAAAAGTGGCTGATGTGTTACTGCTACCTCCCCAGTTCTCATAAATTTAGATTTATTTTCTTCTGTCACGAAAACAGATTTCTGAAGTACTGAATGACAATGCAAATTGTCACACTCAGCCATACCAAAATGGAGAAAAATCATTTAGCTAAGAAATAAGTAATTTATTACCTTGTTAGTGTTTGCTGTCTGCTCTGTGGTCAGCATATTTATAGCATTGTGTATGAAACCATGGTCTGTTGCTGCTGGCGGAGTAAATGAGCTGAGAGAGGTTTCCATATGGAAGTATGGACAGATAAACTTAATTCATAGCATCACTCTTTATTAAAGTTATTTCCATGAGGAGATATAAACAAGAAGACTGCAAACTGCTTAATATTCACAATCATTGAAAATTTTGTGTTTCTTTAACATGGTGAAGAATAATTTGGAAATTTGTTTTGTAAACTTAGTAAGATGCAGTGTGCAGTACTGTGGTGCATCCAAATTGAATGAGCATTAAGGAATCCTGAGTATTTGAAAATACAAATGTTAATGGTCATTTATTAACTTCTAGTCCTTTGCAGGAATATTTCAAGTGAGGTTTTCTAGGATGGTGTGGTTTGCATAATGGTGTTAAAATTTGCCTGTGGCTGAGAAAGCTAAATTAAGTAGCAATCATATGTGTATAAACTTGTTGATTTTTATTATTTTTCTGTACTTTGTAGGGCATTACATACGACCATGTAGAATTAAATGTATATTTAAATGGGAAGAACATGCATTGTCCAGCTTCAGGAATCCGAGGGACTGTCTATCCAGTGGTCTATGGTAAGTCAGAGGTTTTCAAACTGTTTCACAGTATGGACAATATTTTTGTACCAAGTCTGTCTTGTGAGCTATGCATGCTTCTTCTCACTTAAATGGAACACACATCAATCACTTATTTTTGGCAACTACAACAATAAATTGCATGAAAATACAAACCTAGGAAAATACGAAAGTGTATTTTCACCTCATTTTTAATGCTGCTTAAGAGCTAGGAAAAAAAGCACCACTTACTGGCTACTGACAGTGTCCATATCCAACAAGCTGGGGAGTTACTGCACTCGGTCTAAAAATCGCCAGGTAAAAAACAACTGTGAAGCAGATGAAAAAAAGAAAAACAACAAATTTGAACTAATGCAGACTTGTGGGATAATCTGATTTATCTCTGAAGCTTAGTATTTATGCCTGGTAATTTCACATACTTCATAAATCCATTCATTGTTAAATATGAATAGGTACTGAATTTCTGTTTGTATTTTCTTATGGAAGTAACAACTTTAATGTATTACTAGTACAGCTGCTTGCTGTATAATGGTACAGCTCTTTGCTGCTATACCAGATTGATGCTCAGTTTTGAAACTCGTCAATTGGTGAGTGAATTGTGGTAGCTGTTTCACCAGCAACCATCAATACAACCCAGCAGTCTTGAACAAGAAACAAATACCGTATCCAGTTAATCCCTGCATAGGCAGCTTAAGAAAGAATTTATGAATTATGGAAGCTGGAGTTTGGCCAAGACATGTGTTAACAGTTTACTCTTCCAGAACTTGGCGGTGGTTTTATAGTTCCCAAGTAGTCAGAATTCTGTTTTAACATCTCATCTGAAAGGCAGCACTTCCCATAGCTCAGTGCAGAATCAGCGCTATACTCTGGGTTGGCTTGTCACTTACAGCAAATGATAACTGCTCGTCAGATTCCCCGTATTACACCTACAGCCATCTCCAGTTTATCTTTATTCCTGTGTGAGCTTCATCGAAGTAGTAGCCTCTTTGAAAATGACTTTGCTCTTGAGATACCATTAGCTATGTGACGTGGATAATTTTTTCATTTCATGGTTGGTTCCTAATAAACTGTTGGCGTGTTCCCATTTATATCTTGATACACTGGTAATATTGAATTTTATGAACAGGAAGAAAATACTCTAGATGTGTCGTAGGGCCTTTGAAGTCTGTAAATGTAGCTGACAAACGTCTTTCCAAGCTATTAAGAGTGGAAATTGTTTTATATGGTCATTTTGTGATGGGTTCTTAAGCCACATGATGGCGCTGCTAAAATGCTGTGGCAGACATAGGTGCCCTGCAGCACTGCGGGATCTCCTTGTGCAAAAAGCTTCATGAGCAGCAGGAGAGGATTTGCGGTGTGATAGTTGATTGTTGCATCTTCCCTATATTTTGGAAATGGTGTTACAAAGCATGAAGAATGCAGGTTGCCTTCAGAAAACGTTTGGTGGCATGTTAGCCTACTGTATATCAACTTTTTCTCTGACTAAAGAAGGTCCGTGCCTGAGGAGTGCAGTGACCTTTTATTGCCAGGCGCTCATTATTTTCCACAAGTGGGCATAATTTCATCATAATTATCATGTCTCCTACATATAGCTGTAACAAATGAAGTCTGAAAATTGCTTTTGTGTGGTTTTACTTGGTATAAACTTTATACATGTCCTTAATTTAATGTGAACTTCTAGTCACGTGAAAGGATTTGACCACAGAGAAGAGAGTTTCTTAAGCATTTACCCTATCCATAATTCAGACTAGAACTATAGATAACTTTTCTTTTTAAGAGAAACAGGATAGAGCAGGCAAACACAGTGTCAGGCTTGAAAATGTAAAACAGAGAAATGGACTTAAAGGTTGTTCCCTACAGCAGCTGTACCTCAGGTACTTTTGTGGAAGTGAGATGCAAACACTGCATAAGTACTACAGAACTGTACAAATATACTAATAGGAGTTTTAACTGAGCCTAGGAGGGAAAAATTCCTACCTTGGCTCTGAGATATCTAAACTCCAAACCAAAATATGGAGTTGAAGCTTTTTGGGTTTGATCTAATGTTGCTAGTGTACCAGGTTCGTCTTGGAAGAAGTTGTCTTTGAAAGAGATCTTGCTTTTCTGACTGGTTGGGTATTTCAGTTTGCTAATGCAATATATGAAAGCTTTGCTCTGAAAATCCTCAGCAGTTTCTTTTTTATATTCTACATTGAAGGTAGTAACAAAGGGTCCAAAACTGGGAGAGGTATTGTAAAAAAACATTAACTTCCAACTTCAAGAAGCAGTCAGAGAAGCTCTCTTTGGATCATGTGCTAAAACAGATGGTCTGACACCAACCATTGTAGACATCTGAAACCTTGTAAACCTCCAGAAAAATCATTGCGGACAGCTGACACTCCAGCAGAATTAGGAAGTGGACAGAAAAATACACAGCTGAGGAGGTGGCAGCCCTGCAATATGTATCTGGTAGTGTCCTTACTCTGTTTCTCCAGAAATCTACAGATTAGAAAATTTGGAGGGAACTGCCTGAGGCCCTGCTAACACTCCCAGTGAAATTGGAGGTAGCATTCTCATTGACTTCAGCAGGGACCATTACCGATTAAAGCAAACAGTAGAAAAGAGAGATGATTTGCTCTCCTCGGGTACATGTGTAGGGCTTTGGCAAATCTGTTGAAGAGATTTCTTTTAATTGTGTTGTATGTATGTAGTGGATGTATTGGAGAATATTCTTCATGGTTTGAGCATAGTATATAATCTAGTAAGATGGTGTAATAGAGGATCAAACTGTAAGCGTTCCTTCTCTAATTCTGTCTGTTTGGTTCTCTTCTGCAGTTGATGACAGTGCCATTCTGGATTGTCAGTTCAGTGAATTTTATCATACACCTCCACCAGGGTTTGAAAAGATCCTCTTTGAGCAGCAAATCTTCTGAATGTCTTCATACCGAAAATTTGCACCCTGCACTGTTATAAAAGCTTTGTCATCTTAAAGAAAGCTTCACTTTACTTTTAGGAAACATATCTGTATTTTTAGTAAGTACTTGTGGCTGTTGTCTGCAGAGTTAATATGTTAACTGCAACGCCAGGTAACTGTTGCAAATACGAGATTCCTGGCAATGTTTTGTGGTTGACAATGAATGTTTTGGGACAGGGTTTTTCTCTGATTTGTACTTGATGCGTAAGGAGACTAAGGGACTTTATTGTCATCAGTATTACATTCAGTATTTTGAATAAACTGGAGCCCTGTAAAGCCAATAGTTCTTATGCATATGATAGCTATGGAGATGGATAGTTCCGATGATTTTGTTCCCCAGCTTTTTTCACACAGAAGCTATGTACTTTGTTTAAAGGAAGCACTGTGTTTCTAGTCTGACATTTGGAGTTGTGGTGTCCCAGTTGTGCAAAATGACTAATAACACAATGGCATAACTAGCAGCTAGATACTTTTTTTTTTTTTTTTTGCAAGGTATAATTTAATCCATTCCCTCAGTCTTAGACCGGCAAATATAACTTTATCTAATTCTTCTAGCTTTTCATTTGCTTTTATTGTGACAAATAATAGGACAATTTCTAGTAATACTTTTTTGTTGAACCCTAAAAAGTAAACCTGAACGCTACCTGTGTTTTTGAGGACCACCATGCTGTGTTACTCTGGTAGGAGAGTAAGTACAGATCAAGCCAGGTGAAGGGTGTGAGATGTTATGGTGAAGCCTTACATCTAAACTGTAAATTAGATTATTCTTTTATGGAATAGCGTATTTAATTTCTTTGTGAATCATTTATAAATGATTAATGGCTAAGACATTGTTCTAAAATGTGATGCCCTTGAATATAAATTGTGAAATGCTTTTTTCCCCTATTGTCATATTTAATATACTTCCTAGAATAATTTTTATTGTAAAGAAAATCTTCATACTGGATGTCTGTTTTTTGGTTTTGGCTCTTCCTGGGTTAATGCATTTGCATAAATGAATGATTTTATTTAAATATTTTTAGAAATTACCTGATTCTGAAATTTTCAAATACAAACGGCTTTCTCAAAGCCTTTCACCTTATGATTTTCTGCATCTGTCTTTTCATTCTGAGTGGCCCGTGTTTTTCTTCCCTTTAGCCTGGCTATCACATGACAGCGTTGGGTAGAACTTTTCAACCTGAAAGGAATGATGCCCTTGTCAGCATTCTGGTATAAAGCTGGGGAGATTAGAGTGCAGTTTTATCATCTCCCCTTGAAATCTGCTCTGCTTTGCTGTGGGCAGATCCGTAATGTAAGTTAAACAAAACATTTGTATGTTTCGTTTCAGTTTCCCCAGCAGATGTTTTGAGCAGTTTCCCCAGTAGACATGGGAGCAGCTGTCCCTGCTAGGGCAGAGGCTTCTGTGGTGAGTTGACCCTGGCTGGACGCTGGTGCCCCCCAAAGCCGCTCTGTCACTCCCCTCCTCAGCTGGACAGGGGAGAGAAAATAGAACGAAAGGCTCGTGGGTTGAGATAAGGACGGGGAGAGATCGCTCAGCAATTACTGTCACGGGCGAAACAGACTCGACTTGAGGAAATTAGTATTTATTGCAAATCAAATCAGAGTAGGACAATGAGAAATAAAACCAACTCTTAAAAACACCTTCCTCCCACCTCTCCCTCCTTCCTGGGTTTAACTTTACTCCGAATTCTCCACCTCCTCCCTGCCAGCGGTGCAGGGGGACGGTGAATGGGAGTTGGGGTCAGTTCATCACACATTGTCTCTGCCGCTCCTTCCTCCTCAGGGGCAGGACTCCACACTTGTCCCCTGCTCCAGAGTGGGGTCCCTCCAATGGGGTCACAGCCTCCTTTGGGCATCCCCCTGCTCTAGCGTGGGGTCCTCCCCGGGCTGCAGGTGGAGATCTGCTCCACCGTGGACCTCCCTGGGCTGCAGGGGGACAGCCTGCCTCACCATGGTCTTCCCCACGGGCTGCAGGGGAATTTCTGCTCCAGCGCCTGGAGCACCGCCTCCCCCTCCTTCTTCACCGACCTGGGGGTCTGCAGGGTTGTTTCTCTCACATATTCTCACTCCTCTCTCCAGCTACTGTTGTTCTTCTGCAGTTTTGGGTTTGGGTTTTGTTCCCCCTTAAATACCTTATCGCAGAGGCACTACCACTATTGCTGATGGGCTCGGCCTTGGCCAGCAGCGGGTCCGTCTCGGAGCCGGCTGGCATTGGCTCTGTTGGACATGGGGGAAGCTTCAGGGAGCTTCTCACAGAAGCCACTCCTGTAGCCCCCCACTACCAAAACCTTGCCACGCAGACCCAATAGAGCTTCCACCAAGACTGAGCCTCAGATGGCCGATGCGGCCCTCCAAGTCCCAGATTGCAGGGAGTTCCTGGGACCTCTCTCTGAGGCCAGGAGAAATGGCCCCCTCTCCTTCAGGAGGTGTGCTGTCCTGGAGAAGGTGTGCTGCCAAATGGAGGAGTTACAGGAGGAAGTGAGCAGGCTGCACCACATCAGAGAAGAGGAAAGGGAGATAGACAGGATCTTCTCTGAGACTTAGCAGCTTGAAGAGCCTCAGAGCCCATATGCAACAGGGAAGCGGGCAGTGTCTACCTCGCACTATCAAGGTAACCAAAACCTCTGGAGAAGGGGAAGGATGGAAGCTGGTGACTTCTGGCACCAAGAGGAAGGTTCCTGCCTCACCTAAGGGCTTACAGCGGCAAAATAGGTTCAATGCCCTCAAAGTTGAAAAGGAGCTAGATGTGCCTTCAAGTGCCTTTTGATACTCTTCAACAATGTCTTCAACAGTGGTTCTTTGCCATGAAAGACTACCGAGATGGAAGTGCTTCTTGTGGAATTACATTCTCATTTGCGGGGAAAGGAGGAAGTATTTAAAGAAATTCTTATCACTTTATCTAACTGCATCCAGCAAACAACTTTTTTTGAAGTCTGCTGTGTTTAAGAATCTTTACCAGTAAAAGTTGCTACCTTGAGCTTAATGTAGACTTGCTTTAAAACACAGAGAAGGCTGTCTTCTTCAAAGTTGGTGTTTGAAATGGAAAACATTTTGGTAAATATAAAATACTCAAAATAGCTGCTAAATTCACCAAAAATACGAAAAGAGCCTGCTTTTATAGCTCAAAGTTGGTCATTTCCCATCTTAGAGTAAGATGCATTTGTAATGCTGTGCAATGTAACTACACCTGTTGTGTAAAAATCAGAAAACTTCTTGTTCTGTAACTGGTGACACAGGGAAACTATAAAATAAGGGTGTGTGTGTGTGAATAAAAGATTATTACCATCTATTTATCAAAATGGAAAGAGAGCACAGTTTTCATCTGAAAATAAGTTTTGTAGTGATAGTTCATAAGAGAAGCAAGGATACAGTTAACTCCATTGCACAGGTAAGAAGATGGACCACAGAAATAGAATGTGAAGTAACCTGTGCCTTGGCATGTCATTTCAGCATGTTTTCCCAGGTGTTTTCCCAGATGTGTTCCCAGTCCCAACTTTGCCGAGAGAAATGAGATGCAACACCTGCTTCTGAAAGTTGCACTAGAAAGTAATTTTCAGTTAAGATTTAGCAATATATTTGCTAGTAGCAAATTTGTTTTAATAAGACTGAATCATGCTTCCCAGCGAAATGGTTGAGGTATTTCCAGTAATTGTTTGTACCCAAATGTTTTCTTAATCTTTGAATGTTACAATTTGGACACCCTATCTCTGAGTGCAAAACTTTGTATTGACTAATCCTGTTACGTCTTCTGAGTCCTTTTGAGATTATACTGTGGCAGCAAGTTATGAAGTCTGAACCAGACTTTATTTGTGCATCTGCAAATCAGTAGAACTGACAGGGCACATGATGCAGGTTGCATATAGATCAGTTGAGTTGTTATAATACTGGAACTGTTTATGGTGCTTCGGGGATAGAAGAAGTCAGGTAGTATTATTCCAAGGAACTTAAAGGCCTAATTAGGTGCTATAAAGCTAGAAATAGCTGTCAAGAATTGCCTGAAAAGGTACTCTTCCACAAAAAAACTCATGCCAGGATACGGTCACATAGATGCTCTGCAAAGAGAAACTTTGTGATGTGCATTGGGTCCCTTAAATCCCATTGAGAGCAGTTCTACTCCCAGGCCTACAAAGAGCGCTCAGAGATGGCAGGACGTGCTATTCAGGCGCAAATGTTCACGAGAATACCGACTTCCATGAGCATGCGCGCTGTTTTTCCTTTCTGCAGACATACAGCTGTGTGCAAAAACAGTAGAAGAAACAGGGTCCTAGTAACTGATGTGAATTTCTGAACTTTATCTGAGTTTAGATTATTTTTGTAGTACTTGCTCATCTTTGTTATCAGTTTGTGTTGACGTTGCTTTGTATGCTGACAACCGATCAAGCTCGTGGCTGAGATGAGGTTTCACAAAGGTCCACAAGCGAATCCGCAAAGCATAGATTCTTACGTGTCGCTCTGAATCCAGGCTTTAAGGCCCAAGGATCCAGCCCCACAAGGTACATGATGTGTAAGAGCCAATGCTGCTTTTGGAAATGGGGTTAACTTCTATCTCTTGCTGTAGTGAGGGACCTGGTTGCATAAATATGTCCAAAACGATGCTGCTAAGGTATTTGCAGGAAGCCTGTGACAGAAGATTTGGAACAAATCTAAGTGCCTCTTCACTGTTCCTTCCCTTGCCTAGTTCCACGATTAAATACTTTTCAGGTTATTGATATCTTGGCTATGGATTTCTAGACAAAAGCCCAAAGGTTAGGGAGAGCTCTCAGATGTACAGTGGCAGACCTTTGCTTTTCTTGAATGCTTCACGTAAGCTCTCTGTTGGGGCAAATCTTGGTAGCTTGAATGTTGAATTTTTGTGTGTTGAATATTTGCAAGAACAAAGAGTTAGTAGGACCAGTTCCTTCCTGAACTGGCTTGTACGAGAGCCCTTTTTTTTCTTCCCCCCCCCCCCCCCCCCCCCCACCCAACGCT